GTATAGTGAATTTTAAATAGTGCATTTATTCCATTGTGGTTTATGCTCTATTGATGAAGTAGATTTAATTCAATCAAATAAGTTTAAATTAAATGCAAGAAAAATGCATATAATTTAATATTCAATACAAGGAACTCATGTGGTGTACACATCAGATTTTTTTCTTTTTACCCACCTGTGGGATACATTGGTACTTCCTTTGATTGTGAAAAAGTAACCATATGTATAGCTCTAAAGCAGTTATTAGCTATCCATTACAAATTTGCAAGGACAGTCTTTTTTTTTTTTTTTTTTTATTCTCATTCAGTCAGTGGCAGTCATTCATCAGTGTGGCATGCAATGAACTGGAAGTTGATCTGTCAGCACTATCCTTATCTTCAGGGCAGATGTTTTTATTTTTATTCAGCTTATAATTCCTTACTAAATATAGTAGTTCGTCTTGATGTACTCCATCTTTGATATAATTTAAATCAAATTCGTCGTCATTATAAATATCACGAATACACATCAAATAGTTTTCTAGTTGCAATTTTCTAATTTCAACTATGCGTAATGTATGCTTTATGCATGCGCACATTGAAAGAAATGCTTAATAAAGTAAACAAATAAATATTAAGATTTTTTTGTAAATTTTGATACCCTTTAGATCATAATTGCTCTTTATTTCATAAATTATGGTTTCATATTTTTAATTTTATAATTTCTGCATGCCATCTTACCAGATTTAAACTGATGATCTATAATCCGAAAAAACCGATAATCCGGAATCGCCGAAGTCCCGACGAGTCCGGACTAAAGACTTTTGACTGTATTTGTATGTTGGTTATCTTCCTTTTAAAGTTTCTTCGCATGTTTCTGAAATTAAGTTTTAGTAGTACTATACAATTCTGAAATATACTGGACATCATTTTTTGTATTGAAACAGTTGTCATTGTATATTAATAAAGATAATGATTTGTCATATCTTATTTTATGTTCTCTTGCAGATAAGGTTGTTGTTATAATGTAGTATCAGTTTGTAATTTCATTTATTCTTAATCTAATTTCTTTTATTATTATCTTTTGCTTGATAGCAACATTGATAGCTTACATTTTTTTATTTTTAGAATAATCAAAAGATTAAACTGCATGAGGAAGTTTGCATACATGTGTGTGTGTGTGTGTATATTATACGGTATTTTTTTTTTTTTCTTAAGTGAGAAATTATTAGTGAGCTTTTTTATTCTTTTACTTTCATTATATATCTGTTACTTTCAGCTAGATTCTATAGCAGAGTATTTCAAAACTTCTAGGGTATTAAGATTTTAAAAAAAGTTATTAACCTTTTCTTTCTCCTGTCATGTAAATATTGAATAGCTGGTAAAGAAAAATGTAGGTTTATACTTCAATAAAAATTTCCAGTATTTGTATAATTTTCTGGCATTACCAAAAGTAAATGTAATATGTTTATTTATGCTGGAATAAAAAGTCATAAATAAACAAGGTGATAAAAAATTGATATAAAGTAACAGATGTAGTTAAAAGAAATAGAGAAAATAACTAATATCTTAAAAGCTTCACTTCAGAAATGTAACTGTTAAGTTAAATTTAATAAATCCTATGTGAATAAACTGTTAATGACTTAAGCAGGATAACTCAATTGGGATACTTTGTGTTATAGAATTATAATAATCTTTTACAAGATTTTTTTGTGTAAGAGTGTGGAAAGCATTTACTGTTAAGATGTCATTTATTATTTCTATGAAAACCAGTATTGGGCATTCATACACCCATACTAAAAACCCATACTAAAAGAGATTGTGTGTGTTCTGTATAGTGCAAAGATAGGTAGACCCAGAACTATGAAACTTGGTACGTATGTTAAGCAGACACTAAAGTACATTTTCTCAAAAAAAAAAAAAAAAAAAGAATGCCGCAGCGCGCAATGAATTGGAAGTTGATCCGTCAGCACTGTCCTTATCTTCAGGGCAGATGTTTTTATTTTATTTGGCTTATAATTTTTTACTAAATGTAGTATTTCATCTCGATGTACTCCATCTTTGATATGATTTAAATCAAGTTCCTCGTCATTACAATTCGCTTCCAACAGTGAAGAAAGTGGCAGAGAGGTTATTGAAAAACGAAAACATTTCGATTGACAAATTAGTCGGTATTCTCGACACAGCAATTATAGGACTTGAACAGCAGAACTTTGTAACTAAACAAGAAATTATGTCTGTTTAATAGAATTAGAGAGAAAGTATTGTCACATGAAATGAAGCAACTCAAACAACTTACATCGAAAGAAATGTTTAATAAAGTAAACAAATAAATATTAAGCTTTTTCTTTTTATAAATTTTGATGCCCTTTAGATCATAATTGTTCTTTATTTCATAAATTATGGTTTCATATTTTTAATTTTGTAATTTCTGCATGCCATCTTACCAGATTTAAACTTGATGATCTATAATCCGGAATCGCCGAAGTCCCGACGAGTCCGGATTAACGACTTTTGACTATAGTAAACTTTATACCATTCAGAGAATTTTTATATGATCTGAAGAAATGAAAATCCAAGTTGACAAGGTCTGATGAATATGAGTTGGGGTGACAGAAAACACCCTAGCGATATTAAGTCTCTGACATTCATTGAAGTGGAAGGGGGGTCATTGGTCAGTTCTAGCTACTTTGTTTCTATGTTTTCTTTTAAAAATGCTATTTGAGAAGAGTATTTTTCTGAGTTTATTGTGTGATTTGGTGGCAACAGTTCATAGTATGCAGTCCCTTATATTTCCTCTATACATAAAGCATTCCTTTTTTGGGGGGAGCTGCAGCTCCTCTCTCAATATTACTAAGGAGATTCTTTTGGCTTACCCTATGACCTTTTGCTTCTAATGTTATTCTGTAGTATCCTTATCTTCAGTAATGAGTTATTTTTTTTAAAAAATGAGCTTCTTTATTTCTTTTCAGCAGAGAAATCGCATGCCGAAACTTGAAACAAGCATATTCTGCTGTGTTAACCTTCTGACTGGTCAGGCTGTTTATTTCCTAGGACACTTTTTATCACGTTTTTAAGAAAATATATATATGCATGCATGCATCTTGAAATATCTCAAAAAAATTTAAGTATTATATATTAAAATTACGTAAATCCATGTATAAAGTACAAGGGTTTTTTGGCATTAAAATTAAGAAAATACCTCTTTCTCATGGCAGTTTTGTGGTATCTTTGTAAAGTCTTTGGTCTGTTGGAGAGGTATCCCTAATTTTAATAACTTGCATACATGATCTTTTTCAAATGATAATTTATTGTACGTTCTTGGAATATTTAATCTGTGATTGTTTCATAACTGCATAATGTGGATTTTCAGCTGTAGCTTCTTTTATAGGTCCTTGTTTATAGAAAATAATCACCCAGAGCAAGCATCATCTTCAAGTCTAAAATTTTCACACTTAAACTTCTCAAACCACTTCAAACTGTATTGTCAGAGATAGCATTTTGTTGATATATAGCAGAAGTTTTACTAACAGTCTCTAGCATTTTTTTGTTTGTTCTTTTAAAATAAAAGTATGATGTGATATAGAAATGAGCTTTTAGCTCTTTCATTCTTAACACAGAGCCAAAACAAACATTATACCACAACACATGCTAGATTTACGCAATGTAAGCAGAAGACCTTAGTATTCATTTTGATAATAATCTCTCCTTATTAGTAGTAACAAAATAAGTTTAAAAAAACACCATTTGATTTGAAAATCATCAGAATATTCCAGATGATATGATAGGTAATGAAGTTTTAAGAGGAAGGAAATATATTCCTACAGAACTATTGAAATAAGTTCATGTAAATTAATTTACAAATATGCAATGTCTTAATGTTATTCCGCAAAGTAAATCATTTTTCAAATTTTTATGAAAAATCTTAGATTTATTTTGGTAACATTCAGAATAACCTGAATTATGTTTTTAAAATAAACATCAAAATGCTTATAGTTAAATTTAACTGCTATTTTTATAAAGCATGCATTGAAATATTATCTTATAAATGCTTATGCGTTAATTATGGTTGCATAGCATTGAGCACTTTTTTTATATATAAATATTGGATAATTTAGGATAATTATGTTTCCTTTTCATAGATCAATTCAGGTAGATTTTGTTCCATATAATTTCTGCATTTAATAGGGTATATCATATGGTTTTCTGTTGAAATGGAAAAAAAAAAAAAAAAAAAAAAAACCTCATTTTATTCAATAATATTATTTATTCGATACTGTAAAAGAGCGGGCATCTTTTTTTACTTCAGTGCCTAATTGCTAAAAACTCAATAATGCATATTTGCACTATGAAAGGAAGTTGGGGAAAAATAATTGGGAATGAGACTATATATTATGTGTTTCCATGGATTGGTGTTCCTTTTATGCATTTAAATATTGCTAAACCCACCAGTGCCAAAATGGTCGCTGAAGTTTGACCTGTGCTCTGTTTCAGGCAAACAACGGCTGCATTGGCACTTTCGTGGTTTTCTCCATTCTTAACATATATATGAGCCAATTCGCTTAAAAAATTCTCCACAAAAGCATCTTTCTCCTTCAGTAAATAGCCATGATGTTCTTTGCCATAATCAAGTAACCAAATTAAATTAGATTCTTTGTTTCTGTATTTTTATCTCTGTATTTAATCAGAAATATCTTTAAATGAAGCTGTTTTTATGTTTGAAAAATAAAATATATAAATTGCTTCATGTTGTAGGTTGAAACATACGATTTTGCATTTATCCTAGAAATAAATTTCAGAGATTAGCATGCAGAGCACAAATATATCTGTGTGTGACTGTATACATATTTTTAATATGTGCACCTTATATTTTGTTGCTCATAAACAAATAATGGAAGAGTAAGCAGCAAATCAAAAAATGACAAACCCATTTGCATGTCATATTTCTGTACATATCTATGTATAATAATATGCCATTTATCATTTTAATATTCTTAAAGCAGTATTTTTTCATCCTTTTAGCTTTCTACAATAGTGAAATTATTCCTGATACATTGGTATGTTTTTAAATATTTATTTTATTAATACTGTCCCTTCTTTAAATTAAGAGCCATTCTTGTGCTTCCTTTTGTTTTGCGATAAAATCACTGATGCATACATATATTTTATTACCATAGAATCCATCATGGAAAGACTTTGAGAGTAGTAACTTTCCTGAAAATGTAGATACAGCTTCTTCTCGTATCCTTCTTGATCTAAAAAAAAAAAAAAAAAAAAAAAAAAAAAAAAAAATAGCAAAATGTAAAGCTGTACGAATTCTTTTTGTTGTTTAGTCTGTTCTTTATTTAAAAAAAGCTTGTTAGATAGAGTAATTTTGTTCATATTTTTTTTTATATTTTCTATTCATAAATCTTATTTGGAGGGGGTGAAGACAGTAATGATTTTTGGTCTTTATATTTTTTATAGTATCACAAATTTAATAAAATGGAAAAAAAAAATGAAAAGGTGGACATAAAATATATTAAAAAAAAACTTTAAATTTCATATTTTCGAATTCAGTTCTACTTGCCTTACCTGGTTAGATATTCCTATTGCTGGTAAAATCTTCACTTTATCTGATTCTGGCAGCTAATTATAGCATAATGGTGAGAATGCATGCTATTTATTTATACATTATTATGGATTTTTTAGCTGTATGGATTACGAACACTTGCTATTTTAATGCCAGCTTTTGTGAATCCTGCAGTTGATTTTCCAATAAGTGAGTTAAGAGTTCTAACTTTATGAGTGTTGGCTTTTAAATAGAAAAATGTACTGTAAAAATTAAGGTTTGCTTTTAAATGATGATATATTTCTGTAGATTTTCTCCGTCCTTAGTTATTATACTTTGGAGAGCTAATTTATTTTGCTCGGGTGCTATAAAGGGTTGAATTTAATGCAGCTGTGTTTTTTTGACTGTGTAGATATAATTCAAAATTATAATAAATCATAGAAGGTTCTTCCTAACTAAAACTGGTTTGAATATAAAATGTACCTCTGAGGTTGATTTTTAATAAAGGTAAATTGATCATTTCTTAGCTAAGAGAGAATTTCTGGGAAAGTGCTTTGAATTTAACAAATGATCAAAAAGATGTGCTTTAAATTTTGGATTTTAATTTTTATTTATTATGCTAAATATATTTTTTACATTATTATTTACTGTTTTTGAGAGAAAGTTGTTAAGTATATCAGTAATTGCATGTTACGATTATAATTCATGGCACTGGTGAGATGTTGTTGTTGCCAGTTTACTATATTTTGGAATATATACCTTACTATATTTTGGAATTTCATAAATAATTATTTTGAAATTTTTAATTTGTATTCTACATATTAAAAAAATTAAACCATCATCATTTCTCAGAGTGAGTTTTCTTCTTGATTCATATTTATTACCAATATTGATTAAAGGAAAGTGGAGGAAAAAATAAGCTTTCAGTGTAATAGAAATTTGTCTATCATATTGTAACCTATTTTTTCTGTTAAGAACATTTCACTGTAAAGGATTCGTTTTTTTTTTTTTTTTTTTTTTTTTTTTGACAAGTTTATCTTCATTTTGAGAACTTTATCCTAAGCATACAAGCTTATGCATTCCTTTAACACATGCACATATATATTTTTCATTATCCCTCAAAGTTTGTTGATTTTTAATAGATAAAAACCCATTTTAGTTTTGCTAAAAGTATAAATATCTAGTAGAAAGCATGTTGCATCATGAAATCTCACACATTGTAGCATTTAGTCTCACTTTCTAAAATTCTGCAAATTATTTCTTTCTTCCTTTATTTTTAAATCTTTGCTACATCATTGTTTCTCTGTCTGCAAAACTGCTACATTATTTTTAAAAATTAGTCATTAGCATGTCACTATAAGCATTAATCTGAACTTCTGAAGATTAACTGAATCTTATTAGTAATTTAAGTTGATGGGTGTCTTGATCCTTCTTTGCACATCTTCTAAATCCTCTTATATAAAATCTCAGCACTGTTTTCATATTTTGGTAAATTTCTGACCAACACACCTTTTGATTAGAGCAATCGGATTATTGCTCTGATCTTCTGTAGCATATGCTGGTTGCAGGTGATGGAATATGGCTATCTCTATTGTTTAACAGGTTTAAGCAGGTATTTATCCCACATTTTCAACTATCTGGAGATCATAAACTTCGAGGTTCCTAAGCTTATGCTCATGAGTAACTACTCTATCGGTAGTATATTAACATCAGATTCATACATAAGTTTGGAGTTGGCAGAGATTCTGCTCATATGCAGTAGTTTTTCTGTGTTTACAGAGACATACTTGTAGCAGAGTAATCATGCTTACACTGTCACAACGAAAATGATGCAATTGCATGACTAAAGCAATAGTATCTGTAAACATGCATGTGCAGCAGACAGTGTTATGGCAAAGTTGGATTATTTTGACTTTTTGTGTGTAACTACAGAATGTGCAATGAGTGTTACAGAAATTCAGCAATTTCTGTGCTCATGAGTAACATATGCTTAATTTATGATATTTTTAATTTCATGTTAGTGGGCTAATTGCTGTATATTTCAAGAAGCATGTGTGGGTATTCAGATTTTTCAAACTAGAAATAAATAAAAAATGTTTTATTTAGAGCAAAATTTAAAAAAAAAAAAAAAAAAAAAAAAAAAAAATTATATTTACTATTTTAAATTGAAATCAGCTGTCATAAATACAACATTGTGTTGGAATATAATTTGTATTTTCTTTTGTCTGTAATCTGTCCTTAAGAATTTTCACAGATGTTTCAGTTAGAATATGGAATATGGCTGGAGAAAAGCAACTTCTTATAGAGTGGGTCGTATTTTTTTCTGGCCTTGTGTTCCTAGGAGAACAGGTATGTTTATGAATACTTTTCTATTTTTGTTGTAGCCAAGAAACAGAATTAAATACTTATTTATCACAGATTTGTTTTAGAAATTGTATACCATATCTAATAGAAATTTTATATAGATTAAGTACAGGTATGTTTATGAATACTTTTCTACTTTTGTATAAATAGTACTTAATTATCATGATTAAAAGCTTAACCTTAAATCCTGTTTTTATTATTAGGAAAGTTTAAATTTTCATGATTTACTCCAAGTAATACTGAATTAGCTTATTAAATTGCATGGTTCATATATATTGTAATTTGAAATTTATATCTGAACCTCAAACTTTGCCATCCGGGACTCGCTCTTTGTGAGAGCGGGTGTGGCAAATCTGAGGTACCCTAGCCCTTCAAGGGATCAATTTCTTGGTAAGACTGAGGTCATGATTCTGTAGCCTTAGTGATCTTTCCTCCTTCCATTTTCAACTCTCCTTATCTGTGCCTTTCCCCATTTTCCCATGTGGTTTTCCTTTTTGGGGATTGGGGCTGAACATGAGATGGTGTAAATCCCTTTGTTTCCAATTTTTCATGAAGAGAAAACTGCCTATACGTTTTCCGTGCATGGAGTTAGAAAGTCTTCCATCCCTCCCCCTAGGCAGATAGCCCTAGTATGCTTTGCCATAATTAAATAAACCAAACCATGCATGGAGATCTGTATGGCTGGTGAGGTGCTGTCCCCAACACATTGCTTTGGCCTCTGCTTCATTCACTTTGCTGTTTTTGCTAGTGTCAGAAGCATGAGGATGAGCTCGTGGGAGCTCCTGCTTTTGAGGAAGCTGGCTGTATGGCTTCAATTTGCATATAGATCCGGTTACTCCTGTCTGAGGGATCTTCTTCCCTTGCTGAACTCCATGTTGGCTGAACCTACCATGTCCAAATCTTTATTCTTGAAAATGACTCATTCAAATCAAAATGCTGAATCTGAATTTTTTTAAAGTTTTTGCTTTCTTTGCAAAAAGCAAAAACAAACATTATTTGCAATGCTACTCCTGATAAGAGTCTTCGTCACTATATTCTAATAACAAATCCTTCTAGGGAGTTGCAAAATAATGTCCCCATTCTGAATCAACAAATCTATAAGCATGCTAGAGAACCAAAGCATATGAAACAGCTCCTGATTGAAATTTGGCCCAACAGCGGCCAAGCGGTAAAGTCGCTGAACACTGGTAGTTCGGTCCAAGGTTCGAATCCAGTGAACGGGCTGGCTGCATGGGTGTTTTCATGGTTTTCGCCATGTGTAATGTATATGAGCCAGTTTCCCTTAGAAAGTCCTCCACGAAGGCATCCCTCCCTTTAGGCAGATAGCCCTAGTGTGCTTTACCAAAATTAAATACACCACTGCTACACCACACACACCTGATTGAAATTTATTCTTCTAGACCCAATAAGTCACTAACTGTTCTGAATTTAACCACACTTGTTCATATTGATGTAAATGTGTTAGTACATGGAATCCTTAAATTACAGTAGAAGCATCATCTCAAGGGGAACTTTTATGCCTATCAGAAAGAATTAGTAACTGAACTATCGGACCAGAATGCACGTGCTGCTAGGCGAATCAAGATGCGTAAAGGTAGTCAGTTGATTGACACAAAGCATTTATCCTGCCCTTCAGTTTTCTTGATCTCCTAAAAAGTGTGAAAGCTGGGTACTTGCACTTCCAAGTTAGACCTTATGTACCCAACTCCTTGCACTGCTTTTAATGTCAGTGTTCTGGTTACTCAAAGATGTTATGCTGGGGAAACTTACCTGTGGATGGTCATGATAATGATACTTGCAATGTGCAGCATGCGTAAACCAAAAGGGGGAGTACACTGCATTCTCAAGAATATGTCCCAAATGGAAAACAGAGAAGGAAGTTAATCAGTTGAAAATAATAAAGCAGAACTCCATAAATATTAAAAACATGAAATCTAGAAGCCCAGGCAACATGAAAGTATGTTCTTGGATGAAATGAGTATTCTTGTGGTGCTAAATATTCCCTAACATTTTCTTCCCCACAAAACAAACAAACAAAAAAAAAAAAAAAAAAAAAAAAAAAAAAAACAGCATTGTCAAAATAAAAGTCATAATGGCCACCCAGTCCTGATAACAGAAATGTATTGCCAATTTTACCATCCTTGAACTGAAGAAGGCATTGTTAGTCATGTCCTCGTGTCTAGATAGTGTCAATTATGAAATGCTAAGACATCTATTCTGTCAGTCAGTCCTTCTTGCTCTTTAGAATCGAATACGGAAGTATACTTTTCCTAAAGCATGGAAGAAAGCTGTTGCCATTTCAATAGCTAATCCAGAGAAAGACCCAAATAATCTCCATCTACTCGCTAATAGCCCTTACCAGTTGTTTATATAATCTTTTTGAAAAAAAATGATAAATTGCTGCTTTATCTGTTACCTTGGGGGAGGGGGTAATGTAACCTCTCATATCAGAGTGGTTTTTGCAAAAGGAAGAATGACCATTGATAATATACTCCTTTTAGAAACTTCTGTTCCTTTGTCATTGTTTTTTTTTTTTTTTTTTTTAGACAGGGTGTTTTTTTATGACAAGTAAGGGAAATATGGTATTCTGTGTGATGTTCATATCTATGGTTTGTGTGGCAACTTGTCTATTTTCATTCAAAATTTTTGGGGGGCAAGGACTTTTCAAGCCAGGATGGGTTGTATTTTGTGAGATGTCTTTGTACAAGAAGAGGCTGTGTTCTGAGCATTACCTTATTCAATTTAACCCTTTTGCGATGATTTTTTTTTTTTTTTTTTTTTTTTTTTTTACAACAGAACAATTTTGATAACATAAACTATGAGTAGGGCACTCTAGAATGCTAAAAAATTAAGATGTTATATTTTAGAAAAATTTTTAACATTGATTTAGGACCGGGACATATATGTCCCATCAGTCCTGACTGCTGGGACATACGTGTCCCAGTAGTCTTTAGTGAGTAATTTTGTAAAGAAAACCAATGATTTTTCTAGTCATAAAAATTTAATTACGAATAGGTATGGTTTGAAACAATCAATGCACAATGAGACATTACACATCGTGCACATTGTTTTAGTGCGCAATTCCTTCTTTTGTTGTGCACATTTACGGCACCGTCGTCATGTTTTTGTTGTTACTGGCAGATGGTCACCAACATTGAGTAAGCTTGGTGATGTTTTGGATGGGCGTCCAGTTCCTCTACGGCGTTGATACTGTGCATTGAGCTTTCCGGACGCCATCAAGGCTTCTGCAAGGGGTACAATGAATTCAAGGAAGCGGGGGGGGGATTTTTCGATGTTTGAGTTCGCAGTACGCAATCCATGAGTTGACCACTGCGCTCATCAATAGGCGAAAAAATACTACTCAAAGCACCGCTGTTCTTTGTATTTTGGGGAATGATCGATATCCATTTCACACTCGTCTAAATCGGATGAGTACTGCAATTGTGGGTTGGATCTTGAAATCGGGAGGTCTCTTTCATCATCCAAATCAATATCTCGTCATCTGACTCTTCTAAAATTTTTTGATTTCTTCATTAGTAAGTCCCCGGCGTCGAGTCATTTAGATTGAATTTAATATATGCTTAAATTAAAAATAATAAGCACATTCAAAAGTAACCGAAAAAATAAATATCTAGAGAAATGATCACATAGGACTGTTGGGACAATGTGTTCCCACTATTCAAGACGAGAGGGACACATATGTCTCGAAAATAAAAACAGAAATAAAACTTTGCCACTTATCAGTTTATTAGAGGTAATCCGCTTCGTGAGTAACTTATCTGGCCTTTGATTTATGGATAAATCAAATTTTAATTTGAAAATAGGCGGTATTTTCCAAAACTAAACTATTTACGTTCGTAGAGTATGGAATGAGCTGCTACAACACTTCAAAATTGCTTGAATTGCATTATGTACGGTAGTGCCATCTATGTTCTGTGAATGAAAATACCTTCAAAAATATTGGCAGGACTGGTGGGAAAGTCTCCCATTAGACAGAGAAGCGTTTCTATCCCAAGAGTATTTTTTTTAATTTGCTTGGGACGTATGTGTCCCGTTAGGTGCGAAAGGGTTAAAAATAAATTCTGTACTTAAGTGACTCAATCATCTCAGGTTCATGGTATGTTGATGACCTTCGTGTAAGTTGTCGTGGGGCAGGTATCTGAAATATGTTACATACAGTTGCAGATTGCTCTTAAGAGGATCCAGAAATGGTCAAATAAACATGGATTTGTATTTTAAAAACAAGAAACTGTGTGTACCCACTTATGTAGAAAATATAATCTTTATTCTGAGTTTCACCTTCAGGGATCTTTGATTCTTGCTGCATCCAAAGTGAAGTTGACTGTCCATCTACATATTCTGTACCTCAGAAAGAAATGTTTCAAAACATTGAGTTTTTAAATATCTTAGCAAATACCACTTGAGGCACAGATCATTGTTCATTGTTTTGCATTTATTCGCTCAAAATTGGATTATGGCTTTACACGACCATTTTATTATTGAAACACGATTCTTTTCATCACCATGCTCTGTATATCTGTTCCAAAGTGTTTAGAACATTTCCAGTCCAGAGTTTTTATGTTTATTGCTATGAATCGTCACGTTGGTTGAAGAACGAGCAACTGATTCTTCATTATTATTTCAATATTTTATTGCAGTCTGACCACCCATGTAAGCTGCTATTGAATGCTGCTGGTGAACATCTGTTTGAAGCATGGGTATTTTGTGTACCTTCTTCTCTTTTAGGGTCTTCCATTGATTGAAGCATGTCTAGCATAGCATGTCTGATGCAGTAAATAGCCAAGCAGTAAAACATTTTGAAATTTGACCTTGGGATCAAGTGCAAATGCAGCTTCTTTGATGCTTTTCATCATCTTTAGAAATGAAATACTATTAATGATCAGACAACTCTTTCTGAACATGGGCAAAGATAATGCAGGTATATTCTCATATTTACAGATGAGTTGAAAGGAGCTAATCATATGGAGGACATTTGTTTGCATGATTTATGCTGAGCCCAAAACCTCTGAATTATCTCCTGTATATTATGCTATATCCTTCATTTCGAAACAATATAGTAAGAAGTTTATATGGACGTATTTAGTGCCCAGAAAGCTCTAGAAAAATTATCTGACATGCAGAATGCAGTAGTTGTTGATGTGATAAAACTGAATTTGAAGGAGCATGGTTATCAGATACTTTACTGCTGGGTTCCCAGACTTGTGGGAATAAAATTCGGTTCGCTAGCAGACATCATAGCTAGTTTGCCATTAAACTGTTCAATCAGCTTGTTCCTTTTAAAAGATATTAGCTCTGTCATCAGGCTGTATTTCGTCGTCAGTGACTCTGGGATGTTCAGTTTCACAGCAAGTTGAGAAGCATAAACTCGAGTGTGGAATACTGGGAAGCTTAATAGAAGCTGAAGAGAGGAAGTTCTCTTGACTTAGAATTGGCCATTCTTGTGTTACACAAAATTATCTTCTAAAAGCTGAAAGTGAACTCATTTGCTCAAGGTACACTGGTCATCAAAATTAAAGGATATGACAGAAGTAAAACATAACTGATAATTAATGAAAAATTATTAATGAAAATAGGTATAAAGTATTAATTAATATATTTTACAATGTTTGGGAGTTGATTATTTGCAAAGTATTGAAATTAAAACCAAATTTATGGAAATTTCCATCCACATATTCTGTGTATATTTCCATCACATATTTCACATACAATGGTGGAAAAATTAAGTCACCTGTTTTATAAAATGTTTTTCTCTAATATGCTGTATGGTCATCTCGAGCAGATATTGCATACCTCACATCTTGATGTCATAGGCTTTACCAAAGTGTTAATCAAGTCTTATGGAATTTCACGCCTTTCTTCTAAAAGTACACTTTTTAGCTCCTGGTGGGTCCAGGGAGGAATTTGGCGCATGAAAATTCGGCGTCTAAGGCATCCCACATATGCTCAATCGGGTTCAAGCTGGGTGAATAAGGTTTTCAAGCTATTTGAATGATAGCTTTTGTTTGCAAGTATTCTGACACCATATATGCTCATTGAGGCCGAGCATTAACATCCATTTGCAAAAACTCTGGGCCAACAGCACCTGTAAACAGTCTAACATGGAGTTCTAATACTTCATCTTCATATCTCCAAGGTGCTGCAATAACCACCTCATATAATCCTTTAAAGATATGCTGCTCGGTGCAGCCATTTATCATGATTCCTTTCCAAAGCATTAAACTGCAGTCATGAAAACGGGATATTTCACTACAAGGGAAAGGAAGCTGGTTTCTTCCTATCTTCAGATCAAAACATGTCTAGATTCACTGTTCCGACTATACCTGGACTCATCAGTAAAGAATACTTGGGCTCAGTCGTCTTGGCTCCATTGAATAAGGCAATGGCACCAGTTTAAACAGGCCTTTTAGGAAGCTGGAGTGAGTGGGAGACAAACTATTGGTTTTCTCGCAAATAGGTAAACCTCTTTAAGCCTTCATGTGGCAGTAGAATAGTTAATTTGAGTTCTTGTGGCAGCCTGAAGGTCTAAAGTCAAATCTGTTGTAGTTGCTTCCTGTTTTCTTCAAGCCAACAATGATAGAAAATGGGGTTCTGATGCAGTTGTTGCTCTTGGTCTCCCTTGACCAGGCTGTCCATCAACTGGTCCAGTGCTTAAAAAGCAGCTTTAAACTCTTGATATGATACTTTGAGGAATATTCAAATTTTGGTCAATCTCCATTTGTATTTGACTTCCCTAAATTGTATGAATTATTCGGCACTTTTGACCTTAACTTAAATTATGCCTTTGAGCCATAACTCCTGAATACTGATCACTCTCAGAAATCACATTCACTTTAAACAGCACTATAGATTGGATTTCTAACATGTGTCCACTGTGCACCACAATGCATTGTCAATCACCAAATATATATATTTCCACCACTAACATATGCATGGAAGTGCAATTTTGCATTGACTTGTATTTAATTAACATAAATAATTATGGCACAGGGCATTGTTTGCAACATGAACTTAGTGAGCATATTTTTTCTCATTATCCTTTAAAATTTTGGTGACCAGTATATAATATGTACACTTTATGTGTCTACATTTAAATTATTTTAATAGCTCTGACATACCTGTTGATCTTTTAATTGAAAAATAGTTCAATTTTAATCTCATGATTTTCAGTTTTAATCTCGTTAATTTCAGTATTTGAAAAAACTGGTTGTTATTATTTAATTTGAATGTTTTTTAAATAACTTATTTTGTTTTATGTCTTATATGTACTGAGATTTTATCTGGTTTTATATTTAATTAATTATCTGAATTTGATGTATCTTCTTAGATAATGAAGTAATGAACCGTGTATTTGGTGCATGATAACCTTATAGGTTAAGCAGCAGGAATTCTACCAACCAACCTCAAAGCTTTAACTAATATTTAAATTCTATTTGGGGGGAGGGGGCTAGGCAAGAACCAGTATGACTTTTTAATGGTATTTAAGTTCTTCTGATAATCTAATTATTTAAATATTTTTTAGAAACTGAAATCATTCTTATCTTCAATCTAACAACTGTTTTAAAAAAAAAGTTTTCAGTCCATTTGTGTGAAAGATAAGAATGTATAAAAGGTGACTATATTTTGTGAGTGTAGTATGGTTTAGTTATTTTTAAATAATTATTTAAGAAATTTCATGTATGTTTTTTTGAATGGAGTCCCCTCAATTGAATTTGCTTTAGCAGGGAAACTTTTTGTACTTTATACAAAAATAGATCTTCTTTTTAAATAGTGCAAGATTTTATATAATATTTAAGATAAAGTTTTAGTGTAAAATTTTTTTCAACTTAAATGGAAATGGATTATGGAACATGATCATTTTGATAGAATTGAATAAGTTGAACATCATTTTATTTACTCACATATTTTTCTCTCTGCATCTGATTGAGATATTTCTAATTTATGGTAGTGGTATACAAGATATGAACAGAATACACATGTAAGTTTTTAGAAAATGGAATGGTAATATTAATTATATGAGATTCATGTGCTGTTCTTGATCTGCTAACTTCTTTTAAGCTGTCTTCAGAAATAATAATTTTCCCCTTACTAACTTTCAAAGGATAAAATTAGTAAATTTAGCCTGAAAATGCATGAGTAAATATGGTATTACCAATATGTATATCAAATGTTTATCTGGAAAATCATATATCAAATGTTTATCTGGACAGTAAATGTCTTGGGGAATGTTAATTTCAATGTAAAGTTAGAATTCAGGAATTGCAAAGATAAAAAAGCATTGAATCATAAAAATATAAATGTAAAAAAATCTTTTTTTTTTTTTTTTTTTAATTTCGCTGCTTCTGCTTGTAAGGACTGGTTTTCATCATCTTGAACAGGTACTTTATGATGTTTACTTTTGTATGAATCATAGCTAAGCAAATAAAATTTGTGAACAATTCCTCCTTCATCTTAAGTTTAATTAATAATTAAAATAGGTGATTGATTTATTAATTTTGTTTCTGATAAAGTAGGTGAATGGAGTTGTTATAATTTAATTTTGTGTTGCAGATCAGAACTTTACAAAATATGGCTCTCTAACTGTAATTTAAAATTAGATAATCAGTGAATCCAATAGTTTGTTGTAAACTAATAAGACTGCACCTGTGCTGTTACATAATGTGACAATCTGTGTTTAGAAGTATGAGCAATTGAAAAGTTTGTAATAAATACTGATATTTTATGTACTTTTAAAATCTTAATTATTCACAAATTTAATTATCTAGTAAGAAGAAGGGAAAACTATTCAATTAATTTGAAAGTAACTAGCATAATTTGAGAATAAAGTGAAGACTGTATTTATTTCTAGTGATATTTTTAACACGTATGTAGATGTTGTCAGAGAAAAATATTTTATTTATAGAACTGAGAACATCTGTTATGATTTGCATCTCTCTTTTACTTCAAATCTTGAAACATTTTGCTGCATTGACATTCCTCCACTATTTAAATACTTAAGAAAGTGCTGCCAAGAGTTAAAATTTGTGGTTAAATTATTTTGTAATTTATTTTTATTGCATGGCTATTACTTACATATTTACTTTTTTAAATTTTAAATTTATATCTTTATATCTTTATTTAGATTTTGAATTAATTTTTGTATTTACTATTTATTTGATTTAGATTCCAAAAGAGGGTAAAAATTTCAAACCAAATAGCATAATATTTGGAATGTCAGAAGGTTATTATGGTTGCACTGATTGTTATCAGGTAACACCTTTTATGTGTATTATACTTATAATATAAAAAGTATCCAAATCAAATTATATTTCTTTTGCATATAGTATCTTTTTTGTATAAGATGTATTTTCTTTATTCTGCATAGCATAATGTTGGAAACAACAGTGATATCACTGTAAAGGATAGCTTGACAGCTGATTTAACTGGAGTACGCACTTCCTACACTCTAAGCACCTTATCCAGGTTTTATGCTTATCTATTTTGATAATAATTTATTGCATTTATATATTAATATTGCATAAGCTGACTAAAAGAACTTTTTGTTAATTCTGAAGTAATTTAAGAAATGCCTTCTACCGTGGCAAATTTTTTTTCTTATTTGTGAAAATTTTAATAATAGTTAATTGTTTAAAAATCATGTTAAAGACTAGGAAATTATTTTTTCTTTAATCAGAAAATAATATTATGATCATTATATTGTTTAGAATTAATATTAATTATTAATTATTTGTTGTAAATTTTATGAAGAAAGTGAAGAGCTGTAATTTCTGTTGTTTTAAGTATGCATGTACAAAAAAGTGTTAATCTTGGACTTCCTCAGAAGAAATGAAAAATGATCCTAAAATAAAAAGAGCGCATTTGAAATGCCATGTGTAATTTCACTAGAAGCAATATACGGTGTATATTTAAGTGCAAATGGAAAATATCTCCTTCAAATAAATAAATAATAAAATAAAAAAAAAATTCCTTAATTATATAATCGAAAAATAATATTACTGTACAAAGTCCGTAATCCAGATGTCCATCATCCAGAATGATCTACTATTGGACCTCAAAGATCCGAAATGATATACTGTTTACCCTTGCACTTCCGATAGTGAAGAAAGTAACAAAGAGATTATTGAAAACGTAAAAATTTCAATTGACAAGTTAGTCGGTGTTCTCGACACAGCAATTACAGGAAGTTTACCCAGACGGTATAGTATTTAGGGGAGCCCAACTGCGATACCAAAGGGCCTGGGTTCGAATCCTGGAGAAGGCATGGATGTGAACTGTCCTTCCCTTCATAGGAGGTAACGGTGGTTGCCTACTAGGTGCCTCCATAATAAAATGGTCACCACTTAAAAATAACATACAGTGCGTCAAAGGGTTAAAGAAGAATATTTTCAAATCATGATTTTCTTCAGCTTAGAGATAAATTTCCCCAGTAAGAGAATAACAAAATATTTTACTATAGACTCTATTAGAATAAAGCATATAGTCCATTGTAGAAAAAATTCCATCAAAAAATCATATAAATATTAAACTATGTTATAACTTTAGAAAATAGATAAATGACCTGTGATATAATAAATATTAGTGAATAATTTCTTTTGCTGCATTTTTAAGTACGTAATAAATATTCATACATTTTATTAAAATTAAAACTCTTAATATTATGCATATTTTTAAGAAAATTTTTCAACTTCCTGCGCAAAATGCTGAATAAAGAGCATAGTGTTGTTCAAACAGTATGCATTTAAATGAATAGTGTTGTTCAAAATAAGTAGATGCTAAATTAAATATAAATCTGTAGAGTATACTACAGTAAAGTTCCTCATAATGAGCACTCAGTTAACTAGCACTATCAAAGTAATGGTACTTTTGAAAGTCTAGGATATAAATCCAAAATTTAGGCCTGTAAGATATGAAAGTATGTAAGGAGTTAAAAATCAGAAAACTTAAATGTTGAAAGCATTTGTGTTATGTTTCTACCACCTATCAGCTGTATACAACTTGTGAATCATTGAATTATCCAGAATGTAAAGATGAACTACCAATCCCTTCTTATATGCCCATGTATGAACTTTTAAAGTAGTGGCCAGGATTTTCAGAAAAACTTGCACCCAATGCACTCTCTCAGGATGGTGATGAAACAATCAAGCATGTGCTGGTAAATGAAGACAATGGGTAGAGCAAGAGAGTCACATGGAAGGAGATTGACCAAGCACTGGAGAATTTCATAAGATTTCCCTAGACTTGTCCATCTATGTCCATACATGATGTTATAAAGCTTCACTGTATATACAATGGATTTTTTAAACTATGCAATAGTCTTATAAACAAGCAGACATACAAAGCTATATGCTGTCATACTAAGAAATTCATAATTTTCATGTGGTAATTATGTGTTTTAATTGTAAATAATCTGTATGATTTTCAGTATTAATTATTTAATTTTGGCTGATAGATCAGAAGCATTACCATCAGATTTCATATGCTACAATTTCTACAGGTGGCATCACAAAATGGGAGCAAGTAAATTAAAATATAATGTATATATATCCTATTATCCATAATTAGTGTGGCCGAAATGCTGCTGGTTAAAAGGGATTCTACTATAATGTAAAGAAATATTGTGTTTATTTAAAATGTCACCTTAATCTGTGTACACTGAAATCTCATAAGTGCAAAATTATCTTAGAACTTGTGCTATTAGAAATCTAACAAGTTAATATAAGTATACTACTATTATTTTTTAAAATGTGTATTATTTTAAATTGCTTTATATGCTGTAAGAAATTTACACCTTGCACAAAAAAAAGGGGGGAAACTCTGTACTCAGCCGATTGATGAAATTTAACTTGCGTTTTCCATATCTTGAAAGCACAACTTAGGATATATTAGATTTATGTTCTAACATAGGTAGTCTAGCACAGAAACAGACTTTTTCTGAAACAACTATTCTTTCCATATTTCATAAACTATATATAAACTATTCTTTTCCATATTTCAGTTTGACCACTCAAACTATGCCGAAGTGCCAAGTTTTGTAAAAAAAATCGCACGAGTAGTTTTTAAAAAATGGTACTTTTCCATTTCGCTCATGCAAATCTCACCAAACAGGCTTTATTGGTGACAACACATAGTATATTAGATTTATGTTCTAACATAGGTAGTCTAGCACAGAAACAGACTTTTTCTGAAACAACTATTCTTTCCATATTTCATAAACTATATATAAACTATTCTTTTTCATATTTCAGTTTGACCACTCAAACTATGCCGAAGTGCCAAGTTTTGTAAAAAAAATCGTACGAGTAGTTTTTAAAAAATGGTACTTTTTCATTTCGCTCATGCAAATCTCACCAAACAGGCTTTATTGGCGACAACACATAGTATACACATAAAAAATGTTAACAAATGTTAGTTCTAAGAATTTTTTATTTTCAAGGCATAAACATTTTAATATTATTTAAAATTTTGTAAAAAGACAATAAATAAAGAAAATAAATTTGTAAAAATACATTAATTTAAGAATTTACTCTGCTGTTCCTGATTCACCAGTTCATATCATGTGACCCCAAGTTATCTCATCTCATGTAAACTATGCTACAAAAATCTAATTCTCTCAGTAATTATCTACATTAATTTCAAGTTAAATCTTAAATTAAACCGTATGGAATACAAGTTTAAATGCAAGAATTCTTTCAATTTGTACGAATAGCTTACTTAGTCAGAAGTTATGTAAAACCACAGTGCTTAACATTGCTAGTACATTCTGATTAGAATTGATGAATTTAACCCTTGACTTTGCCTTTTCTATATTTTTGCCTTTGGATAAGTGGTGTGATTGCATCTGAATTAACTTAATTACCATGAATGGCCTTAGTACATAAAATTGAACTATCTGTAAAAATTCTATGTAATTATACTGGCATATTGAAAGAAACAATTGATCTGATAAGAAATAGCTGTGACTTGTTTTGAAAATGAGGTGTAAAAGGTTACCAGCGAGGATATTTCATTTGGCATTGGTTGTGCAATTTTTGGTGACCTGTATCGCCTGCACTGGCAAAATGGAAAAGTGCCTAAAAAACGTGCTCTCAAAATTTTACCTCCTCGGTGGTAATTGAATTCGGTATACATTTATTAATATCTCATTTTTATTGTTAAACGTCCTTGACTCCTTTCACAATTCAAAATTTAAGTTCAATCCAAATAAAATTTGCAGATATTTTCTGATTTATTTTAAAAATTTGTATTTTTTGTAATTTTTATAAATTTTTTGGAAGCATTTTAATTGTAACCTATAAAATTTTTATCATAACCTTAAAGTAGGTGTATTTCTAAGCGTATCTGCAAAGAATTAGAGTTTGCAATTCAAAATTTCCAAATAAATATTTTTGAATTTATATGTTGGCACATTTGTAAATTTGTTGTAAGCGATAATAGTTCCAAATGTACTTTACACATTTTATTCAAATTATTTGAAAGAATAAACGATGCACCTTTTTTCCTCTCACTCATGCACAGTGAAAAGTAGGAAAGGACAATAGGTAACTATAAATTAGTAATTTTGCCAAGTGAATTATTCTTAGTGCAAACTGAAAAAAGTGTACCAAGATAATTTTTTTTTATTTCTTTGTGAGTTTCATGCCAAATTTTACAAAATTTAATATTTAGACATTATTTGATTTATAAAATCGAGATGGGGGAAAAAATCAGTGTGTCAGAAAAAATCTGATTTTGTTAACATTAACATTTAATGGTGCTTCCTTCTTATGAAAAGAAGGCAAAGAGTTTAGGCAATATTGCCCATTACTCTTCCGCCATTTGATCATTTAAATCAAGGGATTTAAATGGTAACTCCCGTAAAAGGTAAGTAATAAAGAAATAGATAAGATCCCAAACTGACATCAAATCTATAGTATCAGCAAAAGATCCCATCTCTAAGTTCAAGGTGTCGGCTGGATCATGAAAACTTTCCTATTGAATGAAGAGCCAATTCAATCCCTCCCAAACCACCAAACAAGAGTGCGATGGCGAGTCCCCCCCCAAAAAAATTAAATAAATAAAAATGAAAATTAAATAAGGAGGGCAGAGGTGCTTCCTCAAGCACAAATGGCCAGGTAGTGTATAAAGATTTGATATCTATTTTCAAATTATATTCCAAAACACAGCTAAGAGAGGGAAATCCCTGCATAATTTCTTCTCAAAAAAAAAAAAAAAAAAAAACTTACAGGACGTTTCAAGGCTTGTTTCTTGTGGTTTCAAATTCACCTTACCTGTAGGTTTTTAGTATACATCAGAAACCCTATTATGCCAGAGAGCCCTTTGTATAAAAGGGCTTGATCAAAGGTAATATAGGGAAGCCCAAAGAATTTGTTTCTAGGGACAGAAAACACCGGACATCGTCCCAGAAAGTGAAAAGGTGTTTCCTCTTCTCCACAAGCTTCCCACGAAAAAATCTGATTTTGTGTGAAAATATCTATGTCAGAACAATGTTGTATATAAATCAAATATATATTCTAAGTCATGCTTTCAAGACATGAAAAACACGTGTTAAATTTTGTCAATCAGCCCAGTCTTTTTTGGGGGGGAGGGGGTGAGCAGAGTGTACCGTTATATCTTTAAACCATGCACTGTATGGAATATTAAGAATTTGTGATTCACTAAATCATATTGTGATTGAGCAAATGAGCAACTGGTAGAATAAAGTCACATTATGTAATGTCATGTGTTACTGAAAGATTGAACTAGATCTGTGACATTGATTAGGTACCCACACTTGCTTTTACTCATTCAGTGCATTTTCTAATAATATTTTAATGTTATGTTGTGCTATATGCTTGCATTTGTGTTAATTTTTAATTAAAATTCAAGACCCTTTTCTTTAAGCTACTAACAAACAAAAGGTAGTATTACACCTTTTATGCTCCTGTTATTTTTGATGCATTAGTTAATCTACATTTTTTAAAAAAAAATTATTGGTTTCAATATAAAGAGTAATAACTTTATAATAAAAGTAATCTAATTTCTATGCGCTAATATTTTCTTTGATTTTTCTTTATCTTCTAGGATAAAAACTGTTGAAAGAGCTATCAAGCAAACTCAGGCTGCAGTGCAGAGACGGAGAAATAGTATAAACGATAAATTACAGAGTGGACAAGAACTTCATAGTGTACATGCACAACGGGAAATTCTTAAGATTAAAATATCTGTTTTGAAAACAGAATTGCAGTATCAGCAGCGAAATTTTCATTTACTTGAAAAAGAAGTAGCTTGTTTTAAAGATGATCTCAGAAGAAAGCGTGAGAGAATTTATAATTTTAGTTTCCTGAACTGTGTCAAATTATTATTTTAACAGTATCGTATATAACAATAAAAAGTAATTTCTTATGTTATAAAAGCTCCTGAATAATTTTTGTAACAAGTTAAGTCGTAAATTAATCATAATTTCAGATATTGTGTATCTAATCTATAGTTGCTCTACAATTAACTAATTCTAATAGGAATTTGAATCCTCTATGCATAATACAAAATTGCTGTTCCCACTACCAACTTCATTATAAGTACATTTAAAAACCCAAAAAGTTACATCTTTAGCTACTGGCCCTCAATCTGTCAGACACTGTATCACTTATATTACCACTGTATCACTCAAGCTCTCAGACACTGTAAGAGTGGCTTATTGCCACTCTTTAAAAAAAAAAAATTATCTTAAATACTGCCTCCTTCTTTACAACTCAGGCTGAAGAAATAATAATATCTACCACAGTAATTATTTTTTGTTAACTGTGCCTTTCAGTTTATGTGCTTTTTCAAAGTCCCTCAGAACCCATGCTAGTATAACTGTTATTAAATTTCATTTTAAAATCTTGGCTAGCTCATCACAATGCATTAGTGTATTTGACCAAGACTCTGAAGAAACCATGTTAAAAACCGTAGCGTCCCAGTTTTTTCAAAATCATATTCACAGAGGATTAGAAAATATAATGAATGACCAATGACTTGTAGGCATTATTTGTCACTTGGAAGATAACCTAAAAATTATGTTTTTTTTTTTTTTTTAATTAGAGAAAAGACTAATGACATGGGCATTAAATATAGGCCAGTATGCCTTAAGAGTTCAAATACTGCATAAACTAATTTAATAGTCGAGATGATTAAAATAATTTTTATCCTTACATTAAGTCTATAGTTTTTTAATTATTTTGTTCATGTTTGTGAAATAACATTTAATTAAGAATTTATTTTATATGCTTTGTTCAAAATTAATAGTTAATATGTTTGAGATATAAAAAAATACTAGAAAATAGCTATATTTTTTATGATAACGTAATTTTATTTAAATGTGAATGGTTGATGATGTAATGTTAAAATGTATTGTATGTTTTTATTTAAACTGTTAGGCATGTTTTTAAAGTCTATTGTTGCTGGGATCAGCATTCCACAAGTGCATGTTGTTTACCTACTTCTGTTTGCAAGCAACCGTTGGCATTATGGAAATTTTACCTTACTAATGTTTGTTTTTGAGTATTTAAAATGGCTCCACTTATTGGGAATCTTACTGACTGTGAAATAGAATCATTTGATTTGTTTTTGTGGTACAGAATATGTGAAAGCGGCTGAAATTTGTCATCAGCTTAGTGAAGTGCACAGAGAAAACGTTATGAGCTATGGAACTGTACAGAAATGGGTCAGAGCTTTTAAAGATGGCCACACGTATGCTCGTGATTATGGTGGGCGATCTTCTGTCATTATTGAAGTTTTAGTGAGAAAATTAACGGAGTGAAACAGAATGGATGTTTTATGATTTCATCATTATCTGATGACTTTCCATGTGTTTAATGGGGTGTTCTGTATGAAATTGTGAGTAAGTACTTAAATTATTGAAAATTGTGTGCTTTCTGGGTACCAAAAATGTTGACAGAGGGGCCCAAAATCAAACATTTAGGTAGTGCTGTAACTTTCCTTCAGCAGTGTAGTGAGGAAGGTGGTGAATTTTTTAAGCCAAATTGCCATAGGCAGCGAAACCTTGGTGACTTATGGTACACCAGAATTGAAGCATCATTCAGCATCACCCTAGAAAGTGAAGTTCAAGCAAACAATTACTGTCCAGAAAATCATGTGTACTGTTTTTTTTTGAGGGTGTTGCTTGTGGAATTTTTGCTTTGTGGTGACATATTGTGAGACCTTAAACTGTGCTGTACAATCCAGAACAAAAGGTGTGACATGCTGAGTTGGGGGATTATTTTGCTTCACGGCAATGCTCGTCTATGTGGCTTGAGGTCGAAATGATCATGTTGTAGTGGGTGTTAAATCAAGTGTAAGAGGTGAAAAGGGGATTCAAAAACTAGTTGTTCAAATGCCTTAATGTTGACATAAATCATGTGAAAAAATGGACTGAGATACAAACTTTCAAATAAAAATAAAATTTCCTAGAAAATTTTTACTTGTTTCTTTTTATTTCCAAATGGTACTTATTTTAAAAACATGCCTCATAGTTTCAATACCAAAAATAATTTTATTAAAAACTTTTATTTACTTTTTTTTGTAGTAAAGTATTAATGTTAGAAATTTAGATATCAATAGTTAAGAGATATCTTTAAAAATGAATTACAAATCATATATTATATAGAATAGTGACAATTTTCAATTTACTAACTCATATGGATGATTAAACAAGTGAACAACAAACTGGCAAAGTCATGTACAGTTATGTGATGTGACATGCATTGAAAGATTATAGGGGGACGAAGAGCATACGACATTTTGATGAATCCATATTTTACTGATAACATCTTTTATTGATGTATTAATTAGTATTTTTAATATACTTTTTTGTTAGTATTGTCGATATTGAATAGAATTAAAAGTCTGTATTTGATAGCAATTAATAGACTAGGAGCTAAATAGTATAATAATAATAAGTTAATAAAATTATTGTGAAGTATGCTGATAACTTTAAACCAGTTACAGATAAAAGATTCACCTATGTTCTATAAGTCTAAATCGAATAGTTTCTCAAGACGTTTTGCCTATATGCTTCAAACTACAAAATAGGAACTGCAGGTACAAGTGACATGCATATTACCGGAAAGAGAAAGTATAGCATCATAAAGGAAAGCAGGGAGTAATTATAAGCATTTATACATTGTTTGAGAATTCACTTCTGAATGAATGATTTTAATTCTAAGAATGGGCATGCATTACACTATGCAAACATACAGGGTTATTAGTCGAAAGTAGAAAAGCTGTTTCACCATTCTTGAACTTTTTTTTCCCTTTAACTTAGCCTGGGCTAGGGCAGCCAATCAACAGCCAATTATGTCATATAAATTCTGTAGCTAATAAAGCATCTGGATACTATGCTAGCTTGCTACCCGATATTCACTGTGTGTTGCTACATGTTATCCAATTGAAAAACAGTGTGCTCTCATTGAAATTCTTATGTGAAACAGAAATGTCTACCTGTTGATGCTGATGGCATCTAAATTCATAATGCCACACTGATGAGTGGTATAGTGTTACAGATTTGGTATTTAAATAGCTTATGTTAGTTGAATTGTAAATTACATGGTTTTATTTCCCGCGCAGTGCAGTGCGTGACGAATATTAAAAGAAAGCTAAGCCGGAAAATTGAAAATACAAGAGCATGTGCATGTAACATTTAATAAATATCTCTTTTTGATTTCGAGAAAGTACTAGAAAATTCTCGCGTGCGATTTTAATATCTTATAAAAGGAGGGAAACCTCTCAGTTAGTCAGTAGTTACTTAGTTTGTTGTTGTTTAAGAGTTTATTTAGAAAACAGCTCTTGTGATTGTAGCGAGTGCGCGGATTAGCTTTCTCAGCTGTTTTGAATTAATTCTATGAACATTTGAGTAGTTAAAAGTTAACTACTGTGAGATATTGTAATACTGCATGATAATTGAGGAAATTAAGCATATTTGTTGTGATAATAATAAATTCTTGTTCATTTTTCATCGGACTTGTGCATTCATTTTGTAACGAACCCGTACTCACGCAACAATTTTTGGTGTCAGGAGTGGGATTTTGAATGCCAATTACAAGAGTGATGGAAGAACAATCAGGCAAATGATGATGACGCATTTACTGCTTCCAAGAAAAATGGAAGTGGCTGTCAACTCCGTTAAGGAAGAATAAAAGCGGGACAGGAACAGATGAAATTGGGCCAGGAATCCGTTAAGGAAGAAATGAAAGCGTCACAGGAACAGATGAAATTGGGCCAGGAATCCGTTAAGGAAGAAATGAAAGCAGCACAGGAACAATGAATTGGGCCGGAATCCGTTAAGAAAGAAATGAAGGCCATTCAAGCTGGTCATTTACTTTAAAGACGAAATAAAAGTTGTTAAGAATCTGTTAAAGAAGAAAATAAAAGCCGTACAAGTAAGATTGAAGGAAGTCAATATGAAATGAAAAGAGAAATTGCCTGCATAATAAACCAAATTCAATGCTATGGAAGGCAGAATAGAGATTGGGTTGAAATAAAGTGGGACAAATTGAGGAAAATGTTTTCTGGTCAAAGAAGAAAGAAAGGAAGAGTTTGTTCTGTTCAAAACAATCAAACACAAATGATGAGAGAGTTTCTGCAGTTGCCAAAGAACTGGGTACTTTAAAGAAATTTGTAGCGACGGCAGGGAGCAATTCGGATGGTTTTAAATTTTTACCAATGCCTGCTCGTCCCTCTCTGAAACTATCTACATATGATGGGAAGACCTCCTGGCAAGTGTAAAGGACACTTTTCTATCATTGCGGATGCGAATGGATGGGATTCCGAAACTAAGGCCTGTTATCTCACCGTTTCTCTGAGAGCAGATGTAGTGGATATCCTGCAGACGCTTCCAGAAAACCAAAGACTTGACTTCGAAGCTCTGTCCGGTGCATTAGAGCCGCGCTTTGGCGAGAAATGTTTAAAAGACTACAGCAGGCTTCAATTAAAATCCCGTCAACTGAACCCACCGAATCACTTCAAGAACTCGCCACAGATATTGAAAGGCTGTCCCATCTCGCCTTTACGGAGTGCCTAAGAGAAACGAGGGAAATCCTGTTCCTGCAGTACTTTATCGATGGCATCCGGGATACTGAAATACAGAAAGCTTTGCAAATGGCAGATGTGAAGGACATAAAAAGCGCTCTGTTGTATGCCGTAAAAGTCGAGGCAGCCCAGCAAGCAGCTCGTAGAGATCGCTACCCAGTCAGAGCTGTGCGAGTCCACGAGCCAGTGGATCAATTGATGGCTCGTTTAGATGATTTATCCAGACGAGTCGATGCTTTGATACGGAGAAGCAGTGAGAACAAATTGGCTGTAAGGTGTTGGAGATGTGGTTCTGAAGGTCTACTACGATGGCATTGCAGAACACCCCAGGGCACGGATAATAAAACGGATGAGTTGACAAGACCAGTGAATGCTTTAAGACGGAATAGTGGTGAAAAGAAACTGACCCTAAAGTGCTGGAATTGCGGTGTTGAAAGCCTACTACAAAGGAACTGCAGAACGCCCCAGAGCACGGAAAATAAGGCATACAATTTAAACAGACAATTAAATGCCACAGGAAGGAAAAGGACTGACAAGAAACCAAAGTGCAGAAACTGTGGACCTGAAGGCCACATATGAAACAATTGCAGAACACCCCAGGGTACGAAAATTGAGACCATTTCTCAGCAACGATGCAGGAAACAAATGAATGACCATATTAAGGAACAAAGATTGCCAGATAATGAAAAGCCTTGTTTTAAAGCGCTCAAGATTTCTACAGTGAGTGGCAACAGTAACGGACTATCCATCAATGGACATATCGACGGAGTTCCTTGCAATATGATCGTTGACACAGGAGCTAATGTTACCATCATTAGGAAAGATATAGCTGAACAGTTTAAAGATAAACTTATTTGGACACCATCCTGTGTTACCCTTCAGACTGCGTCTGGGGACTAGATCGACATAGCTGGGAAGTTAAACGTGAACATCACGTTTGAAAGTGCTGCCTACCATCACACGGCATATGTGACGGATATTACAGATCCATGTATACTCGGATTGGACTTTTTAAGGAAATATAATTTTTCCTTTGACTTCAGAAACAATAAGCTCTTCTCAGCATCTGAGGACATGACGATCCATCTTCAAAAGGGATCATCGCTTGGAAACGCCGACGTCTCATGTGAAAGACCCTACTCAGAAAGCTGCCGAAATCATACTAGGGTCGGAGAGAAACACCAAACTACCAGCTATTCTCCATCGCAGATGCTCTTCGGTCGAGACCTTCGTCTGCCTTGTGACCGCATGTTTGATCGCCATGCGGATGCGCCTTCATCGCCTAAGGAGCACATCCAAGATGTCAAGGCCCGTTTTGAAGTGATGCATCCTTCCGCACGAAAGCGAGTCAACTTGGCGACGGAGAAAGTGAAGACCAGATACGACATGAGAGCTACTGGACATAGATTCAAAGAAGGAGACAGGGTGTGGTTGTGGAACCCGATTCAACGAAAAGGACTCGGTCCTAAATTACAGTCACCTTCGGATGGTCCAAGTGCTGAACAGACTGAATGACGTCGTGGTTCGGATCCGTAAGTCTTCGAACTCTAAGCCTAAAGTCATTCATTATGACAGGTTAGCTCATTACTATGGCCGTAGTACGTAGTGTAAATAATTGTAAATAGTGTAAGACCATGGTCCTTTTTGTTTCTAAATGTGTATTTAGTATTTGATTTGTATTTGATAGCTTTTGATTGTGTTTATTTATTGCTTTTTGTTCATGTTGTTTTATTGAATGTAATGCTTATTATTGCATTTATGCACATTGTAAGTTTGGGCTTCCTGTCCAGGGATTGTACTGCCCGGACGTGCAGTCCTTCGGAAGGGGGCAGTGTTACAGTTTTGGTATTTAAATAGCTTATGTTTGTTGAATTGTAAATTAAATGGTCTTATTTCCCGCGCAGTGCAGCGCGTGACGAATATTAAAAGAAAGCTAAGCCAGAAAATTGAAAATACAAGAGCGTGTGCATGTAACATTTAATAAATATCTCTTTATGATTTCGAGAAAGTACTAGAAAATTCTTGCGCGCGATTTTAAAATCTTATAAAAGAAGGAAAACCTCTCAGTTAGTCAGTAGTTACTTAGTTTGTTGTTGTTTAAGAGTTTATTTAGAAAACTGCTCTTGTTGATTGTAGCGAATTCGCGGATTAGCTTTCTTCAGCTGTTTTGAATTAAGTTCTATTGAACATTTGAGTAGTTAAAAGATAACTACTGTGAGATATTGTAATACTGCATGATAATTTGAGGAACTTTAAGCATATTTGTTGTGATAATAATAAATTCTTGTTCATTTTTCATCGGACTTGTGCATTCATTTCGTAACGAACTCGTACGCTCGCAACAATATTGTTCAACAAACACAAGAGGATTCGATCTGTCTCTGTGTCATCTTCATATACTCACTTACCAATTATCATTTTTAAGGCAGAAACAAGATTCATTACTAAAACTATCCACTGTCATTTATTATACCAACTGGCCTGATTTTAACACTGTTGCTATCTTTCATGTTTGTGATTTACTATCAAATTCTGTTTTTGCAAGGTTAGCTTGGCTAGAAGCCACTTTCAGCTAGTTTTGTGGAAAGTTTATACACTGAAGTGACAAAAGTCATGTGATAGCAATATGCAAATATACAGATGGCAGTAGTATCAGGTAGAAAATGTATAAATGTGAAGTGCTTTGTCAGGGCTTTTATTTGTGTTCAAGTTATTCATGTGAAGAGGCTTTGATGTGATTATGGCCGCACGACAAGAATTAACAGACTTTGAACACGGAATGGTAGTTAGAGCTAGACGCATGGGTTATTCCATTTCAGATATCGTTAGGGAATTCAACATTCCGAGATTCACAGTGTCAAGAGTGTGCCGAGAGTATCTAATTTCAGACATAACATCCCACCATGGACAGCGCAGTGGCCGACCACCTGCACTTAATGACCGTGACCAGCGACTCTGCATAGAGTTGTCAATGTTCACAGACAAGCAACGCTGCGTCAAATAACCGCAGAAATCAACGTGGGATGTAGGAGGGACGCGTCCAATAGGACAGTGCAGCGAAATTTGTCTTCCTTGGGCTATGCCAGCAGAAGACCGACTCGAGTGCCTTTACTGACAGCACGACATCGCCTGCAGTGACACTCGTGGGCTCGTGAGCATATCGGTTGGTCCCTAAACGAATGGAAAACTGTGACTTGGTCAGATGAGTCACGATTTCAGTTGGTAAGAGCTGATGTTAGGGTTCGAGTGTGGCGCAGACCCCACGAAGCCATGGACCCAAGTTGTCAACAAGGCACTGTTCAAGCTGGTGGTGGTTCCATAATGGTCTGGGCTGTTTTTACATGGCATGAACTCGGTCCTCTGGTGCAACTGAACCAATCATTGACTGGAAATGGATACCTTCAGCTACTTGGAGATCACTTACAGCCATTCATGGACTTCACGTACTCAAACAACGATGGGATTTTTATGGATAACAGTGTGCCATGTCACCGGGCCACAATTGTTCGTGATTGGTTAGAAGAACATTCTGGACAATTCCAGCGAATGATCAGGCTACCTAGATCGCCCGACATGAATCTCATCGAACATTTATGGGACATCATCGAGAGGTCAGTTCGTGCCCAAAACCCTGCACTGTCAACACTTTCACAATTATGGACATCTTTAGAGGCAGCATGGCTCAATATTCCTGCAGGGGACTTCTAACGACTTGTTGAGTCCATGCCACGTCGAGTTGCTGCACTTCGCTGGGCAAAAGGAGGCTCGACAAAACATTAGGAGGTATCCCATGACTTTTGTCACTTCAGTGTATATGTATACTGTATTTGACAACATATAAGATGCACTTTTTTTCCTAAATTTGGTCTCGGAAAAAGTTACCTGCGTCTTATACATGAAGGACGCAGTCTTATACGTGAAGGTAATTGCATTCAATAACTGTTTATTTGGCTTTTACGAAACGTGAGAACTAAAAGAAATGACGCTATTTAAACTTTTTTCCTTGTTTGTGGCCTTCTAAATAAGGGTGCGTCTTATATGCCATCAAATATGGTATATATATATATAAATACTGGAGGATCTAAAGCTCATCAATCATAATAGATTATATGGCCATCACTGTGTGGGCTGTTGCTGGATTTTTTCTAATGTTCTGACATTCGTCCAGATGCACTCCCTGTAATGATGTAGTAGTATGACAAACCAGTAGTACATAGACCTAAAATGAAGCTCTTTATTAAATTTTTTATTTGATGACCCTTTCTTTGCTAATATCTTTCAGATAATTCTTAGTCTTTATTCTGATAGTAAAAATAGTTTAAAATGATGAATTAGCATAGATGAGAGGAAATGATAAATGTATATTTATCTCGCTTTTCTTTTCCTTTTACCTTGCTTACAATTCACATGCCCATTTTGAATTTCGGATTATTGCATAGATGATGGAACTTCATATTCCTTGTGTTCTGCATAATACTGCAAAAACATTTTTCGTAATACTGCGTTTTTTCTGTTAGATAGTGTATCTCTAAAAGCATACAGCTTAAAAGTAAAATCTACATTTCAGACAAATGTTATACCATTTATTATACCAGTCATTTATTGTTTTTTGTGTTCAAGTGTCTATTTTGAATTCTTAAAGGTCATTTGTATTATAGTTTTTACTTAAATAATGACAGGATAATGCTTATTGTATGTATGATTTGGAGAATATAAAAATTAATTTTCATAGTTTAAATGAACATTTTTCTTAGGAATGTTTTTAACTTCCTCTATGTTCCCCTTCCATGACACAAATTTCTTGAAACTGTCTGATAAAAAAAATTTTTTTAATGGTTCAGAATAGTGTTGTTTTGGTTGTTCTCTATTTTCTTCTAAGCTCTCCATTTCACATATGTATAACACTTAGTATGGTTTCAGAGATGTACTTGCTTACGTTTAGGTAGAAAGTATAACATGCACATAACTTACATCACCTTCCCAAGGAAAAAATTGGTGGCTATCTGTATCTATGCTTGTGTTCATCTTGAATGCAGAGAAGTATGTTCCTCTTTTGAGTAAAACTAGGAAACATTGCTTATAATAGCATTTTTTTTTTTTGGTCTTCTGAATATATATATTGTTATTAATATGTTGTTTGACTAATAATATCTTACTTCTAGGAAAAGAAATTAATAGGAAAGCTGAGGAACAAAAGAAATTAGTTGAAAAATGTATTGATTTATCTAAATATTACAGTGAATATCGAGAAAACTTGTTGAAAACTGAAGCTCAGCTGAATTTTCGAAGGAAACAACTAATATCAGAACTTAGTTATATATATCCCATTGTAGAAGTAAGCGGTATTTATTTTTACTAGTATATGGAGGAGGCAAATTTAGTGTTTAATAATAATTTTTATTTGTTAACAAAATTGTTATGGTATTAAAATTTTTCTTTATAAATGTAAGATTAATTATAAATTATTGCTTGGCTATTTAGATAATGATAATTATATTAGTTTTTAATTAACCATGTAGAATTTCTATTATATTCCAGAAAATATATTACATGTATGTTTTATTAAATATTTTTGAAAAACAAAATATGCATTAATAGACAGAAGTTCTGTAACTCATATACAGCATCTTTCTTAAATAACTGCTTAATATTTTATTTTTTGAAACATTTTTAAAAGGTCTATAAATTCTGGATACAAATTTACACATGTACTTTTGCTAATGTTGCACATTTAGTTATGTATTTACAAGTAATTTAATGATGTATTAAGGATTTTTTTTAATTTAAAGAGCAGAGTTTTTAATTTAAATTAACAAGATTAGTGTGGCAGTAATTTTAGGATGTTAAAAACTGTTGCATTGTAACTCTATATTTGTTGCTAGCATTTCTGATACTTTGGAATTTTGGGGTAAGGACGGAGAAAACTAGGAATTTTCTGAACATCTGGATAGGAAATAAAGGGGAAAATACAAGGTTCTGTGAAAAGGTAATTGCTATGAGAAAGAAGTAGTTTAGAGACATCTTTTTTGCATGGTTCTGTTTTGTTGAATAGAAACAGAAGTTTTAAGGTTTGTGGATATAGTGATGTTTTGTCCAAAGGAATAACTGAGGGGGTTTCTTTACTGGCTGTGTGAATGAATTCTGCAACCATTGGTGACCAGGATTGGGGAAGTTAATATGTTGCATATGTCACAGATTTAAATAAGTATTTATGTGTTTAATTTAGTTGCATATTAAGAATTTTTTTATTTAAGGATTTTAGATTAATGTAATAGTAAAGTTAAAAAACCATTGGTTACTTTTTACTTGTTAATAACATTTCTCTTACTTTGGAATTTTTGGGTGAGGCATGAGAGAACTGGTAGTTTTCTGAACATCTGAACTGGAAATGAAGGGGCAATTACAAAGCTCTGTGAAAAGGGAATTGTCATGAGAAAGGAGATTACTGAGCTTAAATTTAAGAAGCATATTAATAAAACTCTTGAAAACTAAATAACAGCTACTAATTATAATAAGGTACTATTGGATGTGTGTAGCTGAAATTCAGAGTATGATTTAATTAATTAAATGAATTAACCACACAACATGAACAATTTATAGGGCTTGGTTCAATGCTAGTTTGGTGACACAAGAAATTTGCTATACTTTAATTTCAGTATAAATTTAATTGCATTTAACTAGTTTATTAATATTATGTGTACATCATTATTCTATTTATATTGTTGTGGCACATGAAATATTTCTTTTTACTTACTTATTATCCTGTCTTATACTGCTATGTGATTTAGATTTATTGTGTGAGATTTATTGTTTGAGATTTGTTGTATATGATTAGATTTATTGTTTGAGAATATGTAATCTTCAGTCAAGTAATATTTCAGCTATTGCCAGCTATGCCTGTAATTCAATACTCTATGATTTTGAGCATCCTTATTACTTTTTCTTTTATATAATATCAGTTATATTTACTCTTTTGTAGTCCTAATCTCTTTGCAGTCCTTTAAAAAGGACGTGGAGGCATAATGGCATGAAATAAAATATACACTTTAGATTTATTGTTTGAGAATTGTATTTTAGCTCTTTTTAACAAAATTGTAACCTCTTATTAAATAATAAAGAATCTGTTTGTAATGTATGTTTCTCACACTGTGAAAAAATAGTGGCATATAGAGCCATCAGAGTTTGACCACAGATCTCCATTCTTAATATCTCCACTTTAAAGCTAGAATTTTGAAATATTTTTATTTATTTATTTATTTCATATTTTGTACAAATTTAAAGAAATTTTGATTAATGAACGCAATGCTTTGAAAGCAGTATATTGCTACTAGACAAAGCATAAAATATTTACATTTTAAATTTAATCAGAAACCTTGGCCATTTAGAAGAAATGTGTTGCTGCTGCTAAAATATATTTATCTTCCAAGATTATGCAAAGCATAAGGTGTTTAATTGTTTAACAGACTAAGCAATAAATGCAATTCTTCATCTCTATTGTTATTAATTACTAACTAGACTCATGCAATTACACTAACTGAGCTCATTAAAATCATTATATATATATTTTTTCTTTTATAATAGCTATTTTAGGTGGCTGGCTGTGCGAGTGGCTAATTAGGATAAATATATATCTTAATTTGTAATTTAAAAAGCCTATTTCATTAGATAAGAATATTTTTATCTTTTTTTGTAATTTTTATGTAAAGTTGTTTATATGTATACTGTCAGTTGTAATTAGTGAAGCAGTTTCTGAATCCTGTGTAATAGCTGTTACAATTAACACTGCTAGCAATAGTGCTTAATTTTGAGGGGGGAAGAGAAAGGCAGAATATTATTAGGATTTTGTTGTTTGGAAGGTATGAAAATACATTTGAACTGAAATGAGTAGTTTTTGAGTTATAAAGTAATGTTAAAGACCAAAACATCATTCTGCAAGAGAGTGTATATTGTTGGGCTGATTTTATTCATTCCTGTTAAATCATATTGCATAGTAAATTACTTTGTACAAATTGTTTTTGAGCTTAACTCTTATTAAAGGCTATTGACAAGTATTTGAATGTTTTTGCATTAAATAAATTTCATTTAAAAATATTTTTCCATAATTTCAAAAAATTTTTATTTAAAATGTTTTATGGGCATAAATATATATTTGAAAAAATCATTTGTATTCATATTGAAGAGGGAAAAGGAAAAAAATTATTGTTAAAACTTATTTCATTTTTCTTGTTATGTAATTCCCTTAAGTATTATACAGCACTGTAAAATGTAAGTTGGCGGGGTTTTTATTTTTTTATTTTTATTTTTAAAAAAATTAAGCTTTGCAAATAAAGCTAAGCTATTTAATTCAGCCCAGAAAATAGTGCTTCCTGTGTGCATTAATCAGAGTCAACTGTATTTAACTTTGAGTGATTGTTTAGCTGTCCAGATCACTGCAATCACATTTTCTCATTTTGTCAAATTCAGTGCAAAAGATATGTTTATGCTAGAAATTTTTCATTTAATTCAAATATCTTTATAATAATATCCTAGATATTTATAAACATATCTTTCAGTTTCCAGATCGTAATGGTTTTAGCATACATAATGTACATCTGCCTAATTCAGAAAAGTTTGCTGGTAAGTGTTTTGAAGAGGGAGAGGTAAAAAAAAAATTTTTTTAACTATCAGTTTATAATATGTAATATATTTATGTTTAAATTTCTTATTGCAGGGCATGATGAAACTATGATAGCAATTGCCTTAGGCTATGTGTGCCATATTGTTTTGATGATAGCACAATTTCTTAATGTTCCATTAAGATATTCTATACATTTTTATGGATCACGCTCCACCATCATGGATCGTATATCTAGCAGTTTACCAGATAAAATTAGAGAGTATGTTTAATTCTAATCATTTATTTCTTTGTGTTTATCACACTATTACTTCTTTATTTTATTAACCATACATATTTATTATTATGATACATTAATATGAAATGTATATTCTTTTATTATTAATATCTGTACATTCAGTCTGGTTTTAGGGCATAAAAATGATAGTTATCCTTCTTTAGTTACTTTCATTCACATCATATAAATGCACATAAATTCCTTGTAAATGATTGAAATCGGTGATTTTGAATTATTTCTAAATGTTGGATATAATGTAACACCCCTCCCCCCAAAAAAATTGATATAGTCTAATTCTAATTGATTTTTAATAACCATATATCATCAAATAAATTATTCACTCTTCTGTGTTTTTATCTATAAAAGTATTGTGAAACAGGTGGTAATGTTGTTTAATTTTTACAGTAGTTTATGTTTTGTGTCTTGCCAAGCGAAACAGGTATGGCATTTATTCTTAATGTAATCACTGTTTCTTTTAATATTATCAGAATATTTTTTTTTCAACTGTTCTTCAAGAATGCATTAAGATGCTTATTTTTATGCGACTCATTGCATGTCTGTAAGTAAAATTTTGAATGAGAACATTAGCTGGTATCTCTAATGAATAAGTGACAAATAGCAAAGCCAGGACAAGGATGAATAAAGTGAGGCACTTGCCTCAGGTAACAACTGGAAAGTAAAAAATTAGAAATTCATTTTAAAAATGAAGTTAGTGTTGTAAATTTTCAAGTTCAAAACACATCAATAGGATTTGAAACATTATTTAAAGTAACAAATCTTTATTAACATTATTTATGATAATTTGGAAGTATTACATTCCTAATACATCTTTTATTCCCTCTGCTTTTGGATTTTATCAATATTTTTCCTGGCCATCTTTTTGGACAATCTCTCTGTTTACCTGTGATGCACTGCAGTATCAGCATAACAAGCATGCTTTTAATTCCATAAATTTACATTAAAAATGTTGTAGCTGATTTAAAAGAAGAATTAGTAAAGTCAGTTTGTTTTCAAAAATGATATTGTTTCACAGTACTTTTAGAACAAATTAGCATATTCAGTATGTTTCTAACATTAAAATTTTTAATTATAATTGACAAACTGAAGTTGATTTATGTTTTTAGCGATGAACTTAATAAACTAAACCTGCCTAAGAAACACCACATTTCGGACAATTGAGCTGTCAGTCAGATTAAAGGTAGATATCATCTTCTGTTTCCCTTTAATCCAAATGGCAGCTCTTAACCACTTTTGCTTTACCATAATAAGTTTTCCTGACTTCACTAACTGTTGTCTAAAATTTGTTTCAGCTGTTGGAGTGGCACCAGGAACTTAAACAAGGGTGTTTAAAAATAACATGTGCCTTATCAATATCTTTTCATATAAAATTTGACTTGCTCTACTTTTTATTAAGTTAACCTTTGGGCAAACATACAAATTGAATTTCTATCTCGCTGTCCTCTCATTTATTTTCTCTCAGCTAGCTTCATTCACATAATTCCTGGCATATTTAGAGCTACTGCTAAGATGGATTAAAAGAACTGGCACATTAGTTTCATTTTTTCTTCAGACTAAAATGTAAAAGAGAAAGCGTGGCTGAATTTTCTGATTTACTCCACAAATAATAACAAAAGGACAAAATAAATTGTTTTTTGTAGATAAAGTTTTGAATTTTGTTTTGGAAATGTTGGACAAACCATTCCAGCTTATTTTGAGGAAACTGCCGTTCAAACTGCAAAAACACAAACTAATCGATATGAGTCAAACAAAAAAGGATACCAATAAAATAAGTAGTAAATTAAATATTGATTTATTAAAGTAACTATAATAAAATATAAAATAAAAATATTTATTAGCTCTGTTATTGAAATAGAAACTAAGTAAAACAGCAGTGGTTGAGTGGGTAAGCCCACTGATCACTGGCTGTTCAGCCCTGGGACAAATTCAGCAAATGGGTGGGTTACCTAAATGCATTCTTATTCTTCCTCATCCATAATGTGAATACAAGTCCATTTACTCTAGGAAGTCTTCCACGCTATTCTTCACCAACTTTGCGTAAATTAATTTAACCAAACTGAATAGAAAACTTGTTTAATTATCAATTTTTAAATTATTTAATATTTAAATTGAGACAGAAAAATCATTATCTCTCATTTTTTATAATTTTCAGTTTGTTATTATTACTTAACATTTAAATTAATGCATCAAATTTATATTATATTGTGGTGTCCTGTGATAAAAAAAAAATATGTGTGTTAATGAATAGGATGTGGTAACCTGAATGTGGCTGACAAAACACTAATAAATTGGAACAAGTACTTGCAGGAAGTTTATAATAATAGCATTCTAAACAGAGTTTCTTGTAAAAATGGAGTGCCTAACTAATCAGTAAAAATCTGTGAAAGCCTTTTTCAAAGTGCAAAAATTTCGAATATTATCGTTTAAATAAAGAGGTGTCAGTTCCATGAAAATTCTGCAGAAATAATTGGTGCAACTTTCACAAAATCTCAGCCAGTTTTCATGATTAACAGGATAATCAAAAATTTTATGTTTCTTATTTGCACCAGATCTAATGTTCCAAGAAACAGAAAAGATACATAAAAAATTTCAGTCAAGAATTGTTATTATATATTGAATCCAGATGAAATGCTGTGGTTTTTCTCAGGTGTAGCAAAAATACAAACTAGTTTCCAGTACAAAATTGTTCACGAAGGTATCCTTTCCTTAGGCAGATAGCATTCACATACTTTGAATTCTCTTGAATGAATTAAACAAGCAAACAAATGTGATAGAGGAAATATACAGTTTTATATACAGTACAGGAAGTATAGTTTTCTATTTAATTTTAAAAATCACAATATTTCTGAACACTAACCAAACTATAAGGATAGATCTTTCAAATATAAATTATAAATACAGTTTAGTTCTAGTACATCAAAATTTGTAAGTGATGTTAATGTTATCAGTTTTTGTTGCCAGGGATAGAAACTTCGAGAAAATTAAAATAATAAAAAGTAATGTAACACTTTTCACTTGGAAAATGAAAACTATCAAATATGGTATTTCTTTCCATAAAATATAAATTAAATAATGAAATAGAATTTGGGGAAGTTTTTTTTTAAATTAAAGGTAAGAGAAATTAAAATTAAAAAAAAAAAAAAAAAATGCTTGAATAAATTAAGTGCAATACTATTTAATTTTATTACATTACTATTTTTGTTATTCCAATGTTATTGCAATATATCCTGAATGTATTTTTTAACATTTCTTGTTTAAAAATAAATGAATTCAATGCCATTTTATTTAAAATTGTAACGCATTGCACATTTTTTCTGACTATGTGAAACTACAATAAAAAATGCAGGGTTCGTACTGTCCTTAAGAGTCCTTGTTTTTTGGAATCTATTTTTGGTCCTTAAAAGTCCTTAATTTCGGCCAAAATTGTCAGAAGGTCCTTAATTTTAATCATCAGAAATTTCTGTCTGTTTTTACGACTGCCATTTTGAGTGTGAATTAACATTTTAGAGTAATATTTTTGGCGATTTGCTGACAAATATTCATGGATTATAATTTGTTCCTATTTCTAATATTAAATGGTGGGATACTCGAGTTTCTGAGCAGGAAGTGAAACATGAGGATTTCAAAATTATTTCATTTTTTCTAATGAAGAGCTCTTAAACAACTTTTCGCTTTTTGAGATGTTAATTCTTTTATTAAACCCTTCTAAATTTTTGGCAACTTATCATAATTTTGGCGATTTTAAGATCCTTTTCTATAGAAAATTTTTAATTCCGAGATCTAGGATATTTTCAACAGTTTTTTTTTAGAACATTGTAATTTCAGCCATTTATTATATGTGGAAAATAAGCAAGGTATAATGCTATAAAGCACCATTTATGAAACAGTTCTTAGCAAAAGCAAACTATGTAATTAATTAAAAATGTATTTTTAATATTTTCGTGGTAAGAGCTTTTCCCTTGTAATTGTCTGAGAATGTTCAGAATTCTCAAAATATACATCAGTTTTCTCCAGAGCTTAAATTGCGCTGGAGCAGGGCTCGGGCGCAATTTAAGCTCTGGAAGAACAATGAAAACATTATAGTTGAATGTTTTACTTCTGACACTAGAATCTTTTCTTAACATTTTAATCTTCTCTTTATTTTCTCTACTTTTCGCTAGACACAAACATAGAAAATATCAAAAATGCTTCTAATCTTATCACATGAACAGGCATTATAGAAAGGAATTCTTTTATTAATAAAGATATTGAGAATTGAAAGTTTAAAAGATTAATCTAATATGTCTTAATGCATCACACACAGGGCTGGCACTAGGCATTTTCCCATCTGATGCAGTCTCTGTGGATCGTAAATTCTGCTGCCTGGTGCCTTTCTAAATTCTGCTTCCAGTGCCTGTTCTAAGTTATAAACGTTTCGCCATTTCTAGACTTTATCGCTCAGTGTGTCACTAAATTTTAAAAATGATGCCACATCAGCTCTCTAACTGAAGCTTACCATATATATTTCATATTTCTTCTGAATGTTCATATTACTAAAGAAATAAAATTAGCAGCTTTTTCTACGCATTCTAAATGCATTTAGTTTATTTAGAATATCAGAAATCTTTAATTAAATCCAAAAATTCTAAAATGAAGAGAAAACATGGAAGAAGAAACTGAATACCTAACGAAAACAAATTTATTCTTCAAAGATATGTACAGTTATTATTATGTAAATTACTCAATTGTTTACAATTTCAGCCCTTACTATAATTTCTCTTTTCTATTTTCTCACCAGAATGCAAATCCCGTAGACAGTTTTTAAACCAAGATTTTTGGAGTGTAAGACAAGAGTGTGTTTTTGACCTCCACTTGCTCACTGCATTAGATCCTGCCCGCTCTGATAATTTGTAATTATTAGTCTTTGATTGCCGTTAGCGACATTTGAGTTTGTTATGATGATAGAGAGTTATTGAGCCAGCCTTAAA